TACATACACAATACGATAAATTAGAGATAATCTGAGGGAAGGCACTTGAAAGAAAGGGAAGGATTTTACCTGAGACTTGAAGATATCTAGGACATCCAAATAGCCAGTAAAAATAAAAATCAGGAGATGTGTATCTTGTTCAAAAAAGACTGTCAATGGGTCAAAGAATAGGGAAAAACTAGTAAGGTAGGTAAGGGCCAGGTTATGAAGGGCTTTGAATATCCAACAGAGGATTTTATACTACAGTCAATATACTCGATCCTGTATCCACTAGAGCTAACTGCCTTGAGAATAGGGGAAGGAAAGAAAAGAAAAGAAAGGGGAAGGGGAAAAACATATTGGCCTGCCCTTTAGGAAGATCAATTTGGCAACTGAGCTGAAGATGGGCTGTAGTGGGGAAAAACTGATTTCAAAAGGTTACAGAAAGAATAAGTAGGATTCCCATACTCAAAAAAATTATAAATTGGGAGTCAGCTGAGAAGGGAGGGGAAATTCATGAGTGAAATTCTTAAGATCAAAATAATTCCAATGAAGAAGAGCTATCTAAAGAGACTAATGTGGCCACACACAACCAACTTAAAACTGTAATAAGAAATGTGCAAAAGATGGAAAGCAAGGGTAGGTAATAGACAAGGAATTTAAAGCACAGCACTGCCCTAAAAGATCACCAGCAATGCTAGAGCTCAGAAAGAGATGAGCTTCACATTGAATTCTAAAAACAAAGTGTTGTTTTCTTGTTGTTGTTTTTCTTTAAGAAACTCAATGTAGTTCTGCGGCTAGGAATAGGTGGGACAATGATAACAGGAGTAGAACTCCTTAACTTTTATTCTGCTTCTTTTTTCTCTGCCAGTAAGAATTAATTTTTGAAACACAAGGGTAAAACAAAAAGGGCTAACAGGCAGTTGAAATCCTAGATAAGAAGGGAGAAGTTAAAAAGCAATCCAAGAACTCAAAAAATGAGGCCTGCCCCCCTCTCCTGAGCATCAACACTGTTAAAAACTCCAACTGCTCACTAGACATCTCCATCTGGAAGTTCCACATACATCTCAAAATCAAGTAGTCTTTATCTTTCCCTTTAAGCTCACCCTTCCTGCTAATCCCCGACTCTTCATTCTCCTTTACTACTCCCCATCTCCCCCTTCTCCCAAGCCCAAACCCTATCCAATTGGTGTTATGGATTATATACCTTTTCAACATCTTCCCTATTCATTCTCTTTTCTCTACTCACCACATCTACCCTAACATCATCACCTCTTGCCTGCACAGAGAGCCCTAAGAGGTCTCTTTCTGACTCCAGTCTCCGCTTATCTACAATTCATCCTTCACACACAGCTGCCAAATTGATAGTCCTAAAAAGCACAAGTCTGACAATGCCACTTTTTTGCTCAAGAAGCTTTAGTGACTCTCCATTGTCTTTAGAATAAAATACAAATTCCTATGTCTAGCATTTATAGTTCTTTACCACCAAATTCCAGCCAATCTTAGCAGGCTGATTATCCATCACTCTCCCTTATTCACTATTCACTCCAAACAAACTGCCTACTTGCTATTCCCTGAATACAACACTCCATCTCTGAGCCTTTGCACAAGCACCTTGACCTCTTGGAATCCCAAGAGCCTATCAAGGCTTAGCTCAAGTTCCATGTCCCTCAAGGGGCCCTTCTTGACTGCACTTAGTTGTTACTGTCCTCTCCCATCAAATCACTATGTTTACCTGGCGTATCCCCAATATTTACTTATTTATGAACATACTGATTTCCCCTACTAGAAAAGAAGTTCCTAAAAAATAAATACTGTACGGCAAATAAAAAATTAAAACTTAAAAAAAAAAGTTCCTAGAAGGTAGGAACTATCTCACTTTTATAATTATATCTTCAGCACGATATCTGGCATAGACATTAATGCTTGATTCAACTACCACCCAATGAACTCCAAGAACGGACATTTTTGAGCAGAAAGAACTGAAAGGTCACTGGAAGACTAAAGAAGGGCAAGTATTATACTGATATGTATTAAAAAAAAAAAGACGAGAATAGAGCCTATAAATCATAGTCCAATAAACTGAACTTTAATTACTGAGAAAATAATATAACCAAAAGAGATGATTAGTGAACATCTAGAAAAGGAAACTGCAACCTCCTCAAGAGCCAGCACAGCTTCATCAAGAACAGATCAGACCAAACTAAATTCACATCCTTTTTTTCTGACAAGATTGATAAACTGGTAAATCAAAGGAATGCTATAGATACAGCTTACTGAGAAATAACAGACAATCTCTCACACTATTCCTGTGGAGCTAGATATTGTCAGATGAATTAAAATTTGCTTTAATGATCAGAGAGAAAAGGTCATCAGTAATGACTAGATATCTAGTACACAGTTCTTAATAAATACTTAATGATTTACTGATGTCAATTTGAAATTAGGTCTGCAGTTGAGTGCCCTAGGAATCTGTGCTTGGCTTTATACTGTTTAACATTTTTAGCAATGTCTTGGACAAAGACACAAATGGTATGTTTATCAAAATTTGTAGATGATACACAGCTCAGAGGAAGTTAGTTAATACACTGGAGGAGAGTAAGGAGCCAAAAAGATCTTGTGTTCAGAATCTAAGATGATAAAACTGAATAGGGATAAGTATAATAAAACTTTCTGAGCTTTGAAAGGAGTACCCTTATTTAACAGACCAGAAACAGAAAGTATATGTAAGATCTCACTCTTGAGTTAAAAAAAAATCTAAACTTCCCAAGTATACTATCCAGGATGCATGACTAGACAGTAGTCTGGGAAAAAGAAAAATAAAAGCTAACTAATTCAACTGTGCTATATGGCAACCAAAAAGAGTTTAAAAGCAAACTAAATTTGCATTAAGACAGGCATCATATTCAGAACTAGAGAAGTGACAGTACTACTGTGCTGTAGTTATACTATATTTGGAGATGTTCACATGCTGGGTACATTTTAAAAAGGCCATAGATAAGCCAGAAAGAGGCTAAAGACGGCAATCAGTTGGTAAAGGACCTCGACATCATGCCATATGAGTATCAGTTGAAGAAACTGGGAAAATTTAGCCTGATGAACAGAAAGCTGGGGTGTGGGAGGGATGGGACCAGTATATTACATTCCTCAGGTATTTAAAGAGCTCTCAGGTGTAAGAGGAATTATATTTCTTCTGTATGGCCCTACAGTGCACAGCCAGCAACAGATGAATGTTGCAGAGAGAAATTCTGATTTAATGTAAGGAAAAATTTAGAATATTTTGAGAGTAAAGAAAAACAGAGCTGTTGGGAAAAAAAGATAGAATAACCTGCCAATGGAATTACTGGTATCCTCTCAATAGATCTCAAGCAGAAAGCAGATAGCAATTTCTCAGTATATAGAAGGAGAATTGTTTTTTCAAGTACTGGATGATTAATAGAATGCTGGACCCAGCATTAGGAAGACAGTGGCTGAAATTCTGACTCTTGATACATACTAACCGAGGTCAGGAGTAAATTTTGATATCCCTTGGGCTTTAAGTAACTCTTTCAGACTACAAATTAGAGAGAGCTCAACCTGCACTGATTAACTGAATAGTTTAACATTAGAAGTTAAATATCATTTATAGTAAATTCAGTTTAGGTCTTAATGAGTATACCCTGCTGAAACATTAGTTTCTAAGGAACTTTTCTATATTATAGTTAGGAATTTATTTCCATCTACTATATGATAATTTTTCACTTACTATTTATCTTGTGGCTAAAGGGTTTAGCATCTGCTAAGGGCAGTTTCAACAATTTAAATAGAAGAATTTCATTCACAAACTGCTGTAAACTAATAGCTATTTAACTTATTTTCACATTTTAATGTTATTTGACCCATTTTTCTACTTCAAGATTTGAAGAGCTAACAGAGCATTTTTCATAAGTAGTTTGGATAATATGATTCAACAAAGCCTCAAACTTCTTCTAGCAACTTATGGTACCTTCAGAACATCTGGTAAAGATAGAACCAGTCAGTTAAACTGTATACCATTTAAGACCACAGCACTGGTGATAACCTTAAAGAGTTTTTAAAAGGGTGTAACATTATGTTTTAGATTTTGGGGCAGTGTAGCTTAATGAACTTTTCTAACAAATATAAAGCAAAGAAGACTGTAAAATTCTAATAGCACTTTTGAGACATCTGCACACCGGACACAGAACATGTACTGAAAACTAACCGGAATTTTAAGTAATGGTACCAGACCTATGCTAGCAACTACATGGCTTAAACATTATTAAATGTACATTCTTGTGTATCTTGCTAGTTCAGGGGGCACTTAACAGGGAGAGGGGAGTAACAGGTGGGGGAAACTTTTAAAGTTAATTACCACTTTTGTATTAAGTGCATGTATATACGAAGTATGTAGTCATTAAACAGCATTCACCTTTAGGATACAGTCTAGGAATCAAATATAAAGACGTAGCAAGCTCTATGTCTTTGGAATTGAGACCTGATCTTGTGATGAGAAAAAATAATCTAGTACACTTGAGCTAATGCAACTCATCAGCGGTAAACGGCCAGTACTGTAAAGGTTTTGAAGGATGATCCTGTACTTTCCAGTGATGCATCTATCTTTTTATTCCTAAAAAACTGGGGCTCTTCACTAACTCACAAAAAAAGTCCCTGCCACTAATACCAGTATCGTCAATAATACAAGTCAGGTTTCTGTATGCCCAACTGCAGCCACTCCCTATTTGCAAATCCTTCAGTTACCAACATCTCCATTCTCTCGAAGCACCTTCTACTAGTCTTAATTCATACCTTCCAAAACCCAACCTACTCTTACCTACAGCAATCTAAACTCTGCTGGAAGAAAAAGAAAAATGGATAAGTGGTGACCAAAAAGGATACAACTTCTTCACAAGTTGACACGATTACTTTCAAAATATCATACTACAGTTTCTTCCACCCCATTCTCTCTCCCCAAGCCTACAACCCCCCTCAACCAGATAAATAAAAAATAAGTGGGTTTTTACCTGCAGTTCACACCAGGCTACTTCAACGGTGGTTTCGGTGTCCAGGCCTTTGTAGACGGTCTTAAAAGACCCTCGGCCAATCTCAATGTCGAACTTGAGAAAACGGCCATCGTTGGACATCCCCACAGCCTTGGTCTCCAGCTCCTCATTGTCGTCCTGCTGCTGGCTCCGTTCCTCTTGCTCCCGGATGCTGCCCCCGCTGCCGCCGCCGCCGCTGCCACTGCTGGCGGCCGCAGGCTCCTCTTTGCTGCCCACATGGTTGGAGACGGCAGTACTTGGGGCTTGCTTGACGGTGGGGTCGCGGCCAGCTGCAGAGGCCGGGCCGCCGTTGGGATGGTCCGCAGGGGCAGCGGTGGCCGGAGGCTGTGGGGCCGCCAGAGACGTGGCTGGGGCAGCCGAATGCTCCTCCCGGTGGGGCTCCGGGGCAAGACTCAGCGGGGGGGCGGCTGCGGCTGCGACTGCGGCTGCTGCGGCCCCGGGCTGGGGCAAAGACAGAGGGAGGCCGGGCAGTTCCAAGGCCGTGGCATTGGAATCGCAGATCACGCTCCGCCGGAAGAAGCGGTGCTCCGTGGTGGTTGTGTTCGCGGCCGCCCCTCGGCTGTCCTTGTCCATCGTGTGGCGGCGCCGCCGGTACTCTTCAGTCCTGCCGGCGCCGGGGTCACTCCCGGCAGCCCCCAGCTTCTCCCCGACTGAAGTATCCGAACTCGAACCATTTTTGGGGGGCACAGCCGGTGGCGAGAGGAAGCGGGGCCCCGCAGGACCGGTCTGCTTCTCGACAGAGCCACCAGACATGGTCAGTCCGCTGGCGAGAGGCAGACAGGGCCAAGAATTGAATGGAAAAGGGTGGGGGGAGGGGAGACCAAAAGGATGAAGGAAGGAGACGGAAGATCGGTGCGAGGCAACGACCGCAGCTTCTCCTCCTGACCAGGAACGGCTGCTCCCGCTCAGCACCGACAAGTCTCCGGAGCGCGAGGCGAGACGTTGGGCCCGACTGTCGGAGGTGGTGGTGCCGCCGCCGCCGCCGCTGCTGCTGCTGCTGCTGGGGTGGGCTCGTTGGCTGGGGCTCCAGGCGCTGGTCCGGGGGAGTTAGCGCCTCACGCTCCGCATCCATCCTGCGGCTGGGGGCGGCCGGGCGGGAACAAGGAGCTGAGGCACCGCAGTCATGAGAGGGCAGGACGACAGCTACGAGTGGAAGCGGATGCGGCTGCGGCGTCGGCTCTGCTCCCTACAACCACCACACACCGTTCCGTTCCTCTCCCCCCCCCCAGCAGGGCGGGCTAGTAGGCCCCGAGGGCGGCGGCGGCAACGAGCAGCGGGAGGAACGCCTGCTCCGACTCCACCGGCGGGCGGCGGCGTCTCCTCCCCCAGGTCCCGGGCAAAAGTGTGGGGAGGGGCCAAGGAAGGCTGAGAGGACGGAACAGGGTCGAAGGCTCCCGGCGGTTCAGTCAGTCGCGCCCCTCTTCCTCCTACACACGCCCCCGCCGGGGGGTGGGGTGGCCAGCAGCGGCTCCCGCGTCACTGGGTGCCCATCAGGTCGCCTGGACGGGAAAGATCGAAGTCACGGCCGCGAAGGAGCCGACCCCACCTTCCCAGAGGCCTGCCGCCAGCCTTGGGCCCAACAAAAAACCCGTTGGCTTCCCGGGCCGGTGCCGGGCGCCTCAGGGCTGAGGGGGGAGGGGCCGGTAGGGAGGAGATTCGCGCTCCGCCGCTCCCCGGGCTCGGGGAGTTGAGGAGGCGAAGGGGATTGGGTGGAGGGGTGGGGGTGAGGGGGAAGAGAAGGAATCGTCACCCCCCACCTGGCGCCTTCTGTCACCGGGAAAGGTGGGGCTGGGCGGAGGAAAGAGAAGCGGCGCGTCCGCCCGAGAAACTCCGCGCTAAATGGCGCCGGGAGCCAGAAGGCTCCACACAGTCCCCTCGGGCCCCGCCCCCCACCCGGGGCGGTGCTGCCCCGCCCCTCCCGACTACGACTCCCTCCCTCCGTCTCCCGCGCAGGCGTGCCAGCACTCAAGCCTTCACGGGATTTGTGGTTTTCTCCGACCAGTACTTCGAAAGGAACGTGGGGCAGATGACCTACGACGCCCGTGATGCTCTGCGGCAGTTTGAAGCCCAGTGTCTCCCAGGAGTTGTAGTTTCTTCGGGAAACCGCCCAGCTTTATGCTTCGGGTTGGCTGGTCGAGCCTTACTGTGGATTCTAATATCCATCCGGGAGCCTGCGCTACCTAAGAAATACATTATTAAGGAATTGATTCTAGAAGAGAGGAAGGAAAAGAAATGGGGGTAGGGGGGAAGGGAATGAGTGAGAGTTAAAAGAGACTCCCATCATGCTCTGCTGAGGCTAGAGCCCTCTTGGGGTTGCCATGCAATGGAAAATGATCTGTTGTTCAGTTTTAATGGAGAGAGCAGAAGTAGATATTGAGTGACTGTAGGGGCGTGTGGGTGGAGGAAAAAGAGCAGAAACAGAAGGATAACCAGAGTCCGTGCTTACAAAGCCTGGGAAGCCACAAACTCCTTCTAGGGGATGAGAGAGACTCTGGGAAGATTGCACAAGAGGTCCAATAAGGACCACTGGAGCTTTAATGATTGGAGAGAGTAAAGAACCATGAAAATTATCCCATCCCCCTCCCTCTCAATTCCAGTTAAGGCTATTTCTCAGCTCCATCTCTAGATCCCACGACACAAAAAAACGTTTCTGAGAGTCTAGAGTTCAGAGAATAATAACTAAGTTTCCTTCATTTAAAAAGCAAAACAAATTAAGGGAGTTGAACCCTGCCAGTACCAGGGAGGGGGAGTGGGGCAGAGAGATAAAAGTGTTTTCACTTCTTTTGCACCAGCTACTGTCTAGAATTTGTTTCAACCTTCGCTGCTATTTTGGGGTCCGTTGCTCTTTCCTTCTTTATGTGCATATGACTTATGGCTGGGCAGAGTTTTTGGGGTTTTTTTGTCGGGGGGCGGGTTGGGGGAAGTTTTGTTGGGTTTTGTTTTTGTTGTTCTCTTTAATACTGGACACTGACAAAATCCGGCATTGTAAAGTTCAAACAGGAAATGTTTTAACTGTGCTTAGCATCCTCTAAGTCTGTGGGCCCCATTGGTCCCCGCTCTTACGCGAGGTTATACCAGCTAAGAGCACCAGGGGTCACCAGATAAAGAGATGAAACTTGGGGCATAGAGCATCAGTTATAACGAAGAACCCAACAGCATTTTTTAAAGTAGTATAATGTCTGTGACCCTTGCACCTTCTCACCAAATGCTCCTATGCAAACCAACTCAGAACTGGATCATTTAGCTACATATGTTACTAACATACAATCGCTTGAAGCTGACTTTTATAGAGGATTATATATAAGATCTGAGAGCTGGAAAAGTCCTTCCATGTAACCAAAACCAACTCCCTTTTTCCTTGAAAATGTCTGTTCTGGTCTTTAGGATCTTTTCCCTACAATTGTAAAACATTTTAAAATTCATTTTCACTGATAAAGTTTTGGCAAGGGTGAAAAAAATGTTATTCATCTTAGTGGAGAATAGTTTAAAAAGTACAATATATGCAGAACTCAAAAATTACTTTTATTTATATTTATTCATCTTTACTGAAATTTTCAATGGCTCTTAGAGCCTGTGCAGGAAAACAATAACAAATATTTATCAAATACCTACTGTGTGCACTTTGCTAGGCACCTAAAAGATACACATTTAGATAAAGTTTCTTCTCTTAAAAGCTAAACTGAAGTTGACTCTTGAATTCCAAGCCCCACTCTGCTGCTATCTTGTTGCAAATTCAATGGGCCAAGTTTTTTCATCTATAAAATGAGGGGGTGGGATGGATGATCTCTAAGGTCCCTACCAGGTTTAACATGCTGTAGTTATGATGAGATGATGAGAGCCTACATAGCATAGTGGAAAAAACAATGGCCTGAAGCCATAAGCTTCTTAACTTTGGGACTATGAGAAAGTCAACCCATCCGAGTCTCAGTTTTTTAATCCTTAAAATGGTGATAATACTTGCCCTAACTACTTCAAGAAGTTATTGTGAGGAAAGCACTTTACCCTATTTAAATGTGAACTATTATTATAATGATGATTCAAGTCATGAAACTTTTAAACTTCCTGTACTCTAAATGGGGAACTACTGTATTAGGGCTCCACTGTTAAAACAATCATAGTTTTTACTCTTCAGGCTGCCTGCCATTACATTTTTTATGCTTGCTTTGTGTTTAAGATCTGTTCTGATTTTAATATTATCGTTAATATTAACAGCGACCTCTCGTCAGTCCTGATATTTGAGGGAGGAAGAGGACCCCCAAAAAAGTGATTTTAAATAGACATTAAGTAGTTACAGTTCTTCAAGCTAAGTCCTCTAGTGCTTGAGCTAGTATTGCTTTGAAAAGTTACCATTCTTTAAAAAAAATGCTTTTAAGTAGTTACTTTTCTATACAATAGTTGTTCAGTTATGTCCAACTCTTCATGACTCCATTTGTAGTTTTCTTAGCAAAAGATACTGAAGTGGTTTGCCATTTCCTTCTCCAGCTCATTTTACAGATGAGGAACTGAGGTAAATAGGATTAAGTGACTTGCTCAGGGTCACACAGCTAATAAGTATCTTGAGGCCATATTTAAACTTGGGAAGATGAGTCTTTCTGACTCCAGGCCTAGTGCTCTGTCCACTGCACCACCTAGCTGCCCCCTTAATTCCTTACTTTAGTAAGGTTGCTAAACTGTTTATAACCTTCACCCCAGCAGTCGTACTGTTGCCCCAACTTCTCTCTTGTGTTCTGGTCTCCTGTCACGAACTGTCTCTAGGATCTCTTGAACTGGTTATCCCATGAATTTCAATAGCTTTCTGTTTGGTTTCCCTACCTCATTCATCTGCCAAATTGATCTTCCTAAAGACCAGATCTGACCCCCCCTACTCAATGTACTCCAATGCCTCCCTATTACCAACAGGACCAAATAAAAATCATCTCTGTGGCTTTTAAAGCAGTTAGTAACCTGGTCCCTTCCTGCCTTTATAATCTTTTTACGCTTTCCTCTATGTATGCAGATCCAGTAACACTGTCAAGTAGGACATTTGGTCTTCTGACTCTGGACATTTTCACTGGTTGTTCCCTATTCCTGGAATGCTCTCCCTGCTTACCTCTACCTCCTGGTTTCTTTGATTTTCCTTAAGCTCCAGCTCACATTTCAATTGCAGGAAGCCTTTCCCAAGTCCTCTCCCCTCCCTATCAGAGGAACAGTGGAGAGCAAGTCAGGTTTGTTGACAGCAGGGAAAGAGTCAATAGATAAGAAGAAAAGAAGGGGAAGAGAAAAGTGAATATAATCTTAAGTACAAATTCCTAGAGGAGGAGTTTATAATAGAAGCTCCAGGAGGACAGAGACCGGTTTCACTCATTGTGTGGGTGTGTGGGCATGTGGTTATATGTCCTGCCATTAGCACATAGTAAGCACTAATAAATTCTTGTTGATGTAGTGATTGATAAGAGATAGGAAGGAATGAGAGCAATAACTCTAATAGAGGAATTGGCCTTACGAGGAGAAGAGGACATGATGTAAGAGTTTTAATATATGCAATAGGGAGAAGAGGGAGGTCACTGTAAATGGCCTGAATTTTCTCAGTAAGAGGTGAGGTCTTCTGCTGAGAGGGAGAATAGAAGGGATACTGTAGGATACTTGAGAAGAGGAAGAAAAAAGGTTTGCATCAGCAAAAGGGAGTGAAGTAGGCAAAAGGGGAAAAAATAACAGTATTGCAGTGCAGCATTGAGGTCCCAGTTGATATTATTAATTAGATAATACTAATTAGTAGTATATCTACTCATCACAATTGTATGACTTCCTTTCTTTACATTTAGCTATTCCTACTGGGCATGGTGTATTCATCTCAATTTCTTA